ATAGAGCAAACAGAAAAGCACCAGTGAACTCAGCACGTCAAGGCGCGTCGAATGTTATACTTTTTAGCTTGCTTAAGTGTACTTAAGTTTTTCTTAAATTTTAAGTAAACTTAAATTAATAAATTAAGTTCAAGTTAACCAAATTGCATCATATCGCATATCATTCGATTCGGCTGATCACCAGGAACACAATGATACCATTTTTTAAGCTCTAGCGTCATTATGTGCCAAGTTATTGGCAAAAATGTCATTTGACCTCAGTTGACCTCATTTGACCTGATCCATGGATAATTACACCAAACAAAGAAGCACCAAGTGACCTGCTGTTAAGTACTGTGGTTTCAAAGTACAAAAGTGATAGAACGAAGCAGATATCTCCAGTATTTTCCGAATTTAGTATTTTCCCATAGGCTTAACATTACGACGTAATGACCTCTAACCAGGGGCGGATCCAAGGGGGGGGTCACATGGGTCATGCCCCCCCTTGAGGCCCGGGGGCCCAAAGACCTGCCAGGGGCACCACCGGCCTATCAGGGGTATCACAGTCCTGACAGGGGCACCACAGGACCGCCAGGAGCACCACAGGCCTAGCAGGGACACCACGGGCCTGGTGCCCCTGGGCCCTGACAGGACTGTAACGCCCCTGACAAGCCTGAAGTGTCCCCGGTAGGCACGTGGTGCCCCTGACAGGCCTGAGGCGCCCCTGCAAGGGCGGTGGTGCCCCTGGCAGGCCTGTGGTGTCCATGGCAGGCCTGTGGTGCCCTTGCTAGGCCTCTGGTGCCCCTGACAGGCTTGTAATGCCCCTGGAAGGACTGTGGTGCCCCTGGGCCCTGACAAGCCTGAGGTGCCCCTGACAGGCCAGTGGTGCCCTTGCTAGGCCTGTGGTGCCCCTGGCAGGCCTCTGGTGCCCCTGACAGGCTTGCGGTGCCCTTGGAAGGACTGTGGTGTCCCTGGGCCCTGACAAGCCTGAGGTGTCCCTGACAGGCCCGTGGTGCCCTTGTTAGGCCTGTGGTGCCCCTGGCAGGCCTCTGGTGCCCTTGCTAGGCCGCTGGTGCCCCTGGCAGGCCTCTGGTGCCCTTGCTAGGCCGCTGGTACCCCTGCGCCCGGAGAGGACTGGTGCCCCTGAAAAGTCTGAAGTGCCCCTCGGCAGGCCCGTGGTGCCCCTGACAGGCCCAAGGTGCCCCTGCGAGGCCGGTGGTGCCCCTGGCAGACCTCTGGTGCCCCTGGCAGGTCTGTGGTGCCCCTGGCAGGTCTGTGGCGCCCCTGGCAGACCTGTGTTGACTGGTGCCCCTGCTAGGTCGCTGGTGCCCCTCACAGACCTGTGGTGCCCCTGGGCCTTGACAAGCCTGAGATGCCTGGCTATGACAGGCTCGTGGTGCCCCTTATACACCAGTGGTGCCCTTGCTAGGCCTGTAGTGCCCCTGGCAGGCCTCTGGTGCCCCTGCTACCCCTGCGCCCGGAGAGGACTATGGTGCCCCTGAAAAGCCTGAAGTGCCTCTCGACAGGCCCGTGGTGCCCCTGGGCCCTGACAGGCCCAAGTTACCCCTGCGAGGTCGGTGGTGCTCCTGGCAGACCTCTGGTGCCCCTTGCAGGTCTGTGGTGCCCCTGGCAGGCCTGTGTTGACTGGTGCCCCTGCTAGGCCGCTGGTGCCCCTCACAGGCCTGCGGTGCCCCTGGAAGGACTGTGGTGCCCCTGCCCCTAGGGGTGCTCATGGGCCCAACAGGTCCGTTGTGCCCCTGACAGGCCTGTCGTGTATACTTGCTAGACCTGTGGTGCCCCTACTTCCTGGCAGGCCTGTGGTGCCCCTGGCGGGCCTGTGGCGCCCCTACAAGGCCGTAGGTGCCCCTGAAAGGTTTGTGGTGTCCCTTAAAGGACTTTGGTGCCCCTGACAAGCCTGAAGTGTCAAGGACAGACCCTTTAGGACGCCAGGGTCAAGTTCGTCGGACTGACAACGATTTGCTTACCTGATAACGTTCCTGGTAAGTACTCACTACTCAGCGTCCACAACATATATACACATAGCCCGCGCCCCGTAGGGCTACCGGCGGACCCTACCACCCGTAGGGGGGGGGCCGTTTCGGCCCCCCCTAAGATCTCGGAAAGTTACCGGCCGATTTTCAAAATTCAAACGGCGTTTGATAGCCCTACCCGGGAACTACCTTGTGACCAAATTTCATTGACCTAGGTCAAACCGATGACGTCACAGGTCAGGTCAAAGGTCAGATTTTCACCGTTCACAGGCAATTCAAGAAATGTGCTGTGAAATTGAGTAAATTGGTAATTTATTGAAAACCATCGATGGTATATTGTTCGTCAAACACATACTTTGCTATCTGAGATCACTGATACCAGGTCAGGTCACAGCGAGGTCAGGTCACCGGGGGTCACAATATGAATGTGTCGTGTGATACATGTTTTATGGTCCATTTTACATGACAAATGCGATTATGTGGGTTAGGCAGCCTTTGGGGCCAGCCTAGGTCACGTTTTGGTGAAGGTCAGGTCAAGGTCAGGTCAAATTAGGTCAAATTTCAAAGTTGATATTTTTGCATAAAATGGGTATCCATTCGATGCAGCTCGTCACGGGGAGTCTAATGGTGGTCTTTGTTTTGCTCTACGAGTTCTAGAATTGCCAAAAATTGAGTTTGAAAATTTGACGTCATCATTTTTGAACAGTTTTTTCGCTATAACTTGGCCAAAAAACGAGGTATCGATCTGAAATTTGGTATGTAGATAGAAGACGGTAGGTACTACCACATATATTCCGGTTTTTTTCGAAACTCAAAAAAAACTTTTTGGATTTTTCGGCTAATATATCCAAAAAAATGCTTTTTTGATTTTTGGGGATCAAAACTCAAAAATTTCAAAAATCCGAGATAGCAGTTTTGTAGCCCTGTCAATTCTACACCTTTTATGTCTTGATCATTTTTTTGTATCTTCAAAGCTGTAGGCCTGACAGGTCTTCTCGCGAAGGTCTTTTTTCGGTCGAAAATGACAGAACATGACGTCACTCTGACGTCATTTGTGGCCAACCTATCACAGCCTCTGGAAAAAATTTTGGTCACAATGTGTAAAATTGATGCCCGGAGGGGTCCTGAAAGTTTGGTGGCGATATCTCCAGTCGTTTAGGAGATATCGACCGAAAAGGACAGGGGGGGGCCGTTTCGGCCCCCCCCCCTACGGGGCGCGGGATAGCATCTATGCACATAGCACATTCATATATACTTGCTTACAATTGGTAAATGTGGTTGTGGCTAAGAGTTAAGATACTGACTAAAAATAAAAAAAATAAAAAACTGAAAATGGGGGCACCACCAAAATGAAGTGGACGAAATCCGTTGAGTTTTTAATTTTGGGTATAGGTAGGGGCACCACTTCGATTCATGACCCTCCCCTTGGAGTTTTCCTGGATCCGCCCCTGCCTCTAACTGACCTCAGGTCAGTGACCTCAAAAAACCCGAACTACTTGTTATACAATTCGGTGAACTTAGCACATCCTGAAAGTTTGAAGGAAATCAGTCCAAAACTGTGAGTTGGACAGGTGCAAAAAGAAAATTGAAATTTGACCATGACCTTGTACCGGTTTTTCTGACCTGGTGACCTGACCCAAGGTCACCCGGACCTGAAATTTTCAGGTCATATATAAAAAGGTTGCCCCATAGGCTGTGCCAAATTTGGCGGCGCTGCGCGCCAATTTTTTTGGCGCCGCCGTTTTTACGCTATCTTCGAAAAACCTTGGGGGGGGGGGGCGTCGCATCGACCCCCCCCTGCCAGGGCGAGGGTTAAAGGACACAAAGTCGGTGACGGGGATGGACGTGCCCACTGCCCACCTTCATGCCTATGGGTCGTTTGACTTCAAATTATAGGGTCCTCCTCCTAGCCAATTGAGTTCGAAAATAACCGCATTAATTAAAAAGGATAAAGCACTCGCAAAAGATCACCTAAGGTCACAGCGTCACAGCTCCTTTGTATGTCATCAGAAGAATCGTCGCTGTCAATTATCAAACATTTGGCTAACTTACCCCAAAGTGGTGGCCTATGGCCTATAAATATCGGACCAACTTTTGCCGCGTATTTACCTAATCTGAGACGAATCCGCAAGGGCAGCCGTGAAAATCCGCTCATGTTCGCACCATTAGTACAGCGTATTCACCAACACAGCTCGCCTACAGCACGCTAAGTACCCCTTCTGCCCCCTGCCGGCCCTCCGGGCCCTCGCACTCCCCCGTCACCGCTCGCGGGCACTCACAGCACCCATGGTCGGCCGCCAGCACAACTGAAAGAGCCGCCGCCGCCGCCGTCGCCGTCATTTGTAAACGGATCCACTTCCACATGACTTCCGAGCGCGAATACGGCGCAGAGAGCAGCCGAGCCTCTCCTCTTACGGAGATGATTAATTCGGGCGGCGACGGCCATTGTGGCGCCGATCGACCGGAGAGCCATTGGCGGCGGCGACTTTGGCATTGTGCGGCGCGCCGCCGGCCGGCGTCGGCGCCAATTGATTTCGCCGATGATCTGTTAGGGCCTATTATAAACTGGGCCGGAGCCTCGGTCTCTCTGGGTCGGCATTAGTCGCGATTGAGAGTCGGATTGTGTCCCTTCGACAGGACAGACATGAGACGGTAAAATCGTGCCGGCGACCGTGGCACCCGTCTCCGCGGCGTGTGGACGGTCTTGTCCGATGGAGACGGGCTAAGTGAGAAACTGGTTTCATTGCAAATGTAACATTAAGATAGTAAATTGTGGTACATCACTTTTGCAGAATTTAAAACAAATGGGATATACAATCTACATGTTTTATATAGGCAGACAGTAAAGGGTAAGCTGAAAGGAGATACCCTTTTCATTCAAAAATCGCTTTGATGGTGTCCGATAAATTAGATATCATTTAACAGTTTTCTGTAGTAAAAATCACAGCTAGCTTCGACTTCGCTATAACTATATCATTTTCGTGTTGTGTTTGCTAGTCGAATTCCCAGATTGACTTACAGAAGCGTAACTCAAATTAAATAATATATTTTACAAATATCATATAAATCACAAAATAGAACTATTCGGCATGCGTTACATGCAATCACACGAGAACGACATGAGTTATCAAACTAAATAATCACTTCATATCGAGTCATAACTGACTGAATAGCAGTCATCACTGAAACAGTTTACGGGGATCGGTACCGTAACCAAACGGATACGGGGCCAGCACGGCGTGCATTTGTGACGTCACAGCGGCGTGCATTTGCGACGTCACGGCGGCATGGATTGGTGACGTCATCGATGCCAGTCCGGCGGCGTACAGGGGCGCCGCGTGGGTCCGCTGGTGTTTGTTGAGGTGGTCCTTGCGGCCGAACCGCTTGCCGCAGAGCTCACAGCCGAACGGCCGGTCGCCCGTGTGGATGCGCGTGTGTCGGGTGAGCTCCTCGTTCCGCGTGAACCGCTTGTGGCACGTCTCGCACTCAAACGGGCGCTCGCCTGCAGAAGAGAAGACATATTTGATTCATTTAATATATGCAGCTTCGAATATGCGCTTTTGCTTTATCTTCAAAATTAGCTCAAATGTTTGAATGGATGGGTTGTCAGAGCCAAAAGCCTACGCTAAGCAGCTTGTTGCTCACGCACTAATCTCTTCCGTTCGATCCGGCGATTCCGGCTTGCATCGGGAGAATTTATATGACAAAGTTTAGCGTGCCTATCAAAGCCGAACATGGTCCGTCGCACTCAGCTGCTTCAACTGACTGTGGCTGCTGACACCAATCGCAGACCATTCCCGTCAGGAGTCTCGTATTTTGATCGCAAGGGTGACTCCAACGATTAAATTAGGTGTTGTACATATAGCCAAAGCTATTTGGGGTGAACACAGGAGAACAAAGAGACTATTGTAAAAATCCTGAAGATTTTTCCGGGTGTACATAATCTCAGTAGAGACAATGAATGCACGGTCGCTAAATTTGTCGACATTGGCGGAATGCAAATATTTCTCATGTACATACTTATAAACATTAGACAACATACATGATTGATATTCATGGTTACCTACTTTCCAATATTCAAAATGTCTTATCCCAACTATTCCTCAAACAAACTCAACTAGAGAGACTGAGACACAGCCACCCCCATGCTCAGCTTGTTTGTCTAAAAGGGCCACTTGTGAAGCACCGGCTTTTGTGATGTAGTAGTTAAGTGCAACTAAGATGCTGACCGCTAACTTTTGCCCAATTTCAGATACTTTGTTGGGGTAGCCTCCGGGCTCCAGCGTCTTGGGGCTCCCACATCCCCAGCCCTTTTTTCCGTCTAATGGTTCATAACTTTTTGTTACAACGGCACGTTAAAATATAAGGTTATCGCGCCATTTTTTTTTTGGGGGGGGGGTGAGCTCAGACCTTCAAATATTCGGCTGTGAGCTGTGACATTTTGGTCTTGATATACCTTACCGAGGAATTAAAATAAGAATGCGTTTAAGGCGCTATGCATCAACATTACGCATTCCCCTGTACCCCATCTGCTCCCGTTTCCGCGTCCACTCATGCGTTCACCTCTTGGTCCACCACATACCTGTCGGACCGTCTGACCGTCAGTCCGTCTTCTTGAAGGCCTGCCCTTTCACTCTCCCGTCCGTCCGTCACGTTCCTGACCGCCCAGGCGCCCACCCTCGCCCGCCAGTCTATTTATCTGTCCGTCCTACCGTTCGTTCCGTCTTTAATCTTTTCTCATGTCGCCTATCGTTCTACCCTCCCGCCCACTCCCTCGCCTCCCGTCCGTCCCTCTGTGCCTCCTCTCTTTAATCCATCCGTACCTGTGTGTTTGCGGTAGTGCCCGGTCAGCTGACCCTTATTGGAGAAGGTCATCGGACACTTGGGACAGGGGAACTTCTTGTCGCGTCTCCGCTTGGTGGCGGCCTTTCGGGACTCTTCCTCCGCCAGCAGCTGAAGGGCGCTCCAGACGAGTGGCGGTGACGGGGCGCCGGACCGCAGCCAGCCGGACGAGGGCCACGCCGGGGGCCGCGGCGGTACCGACGACTGTCCGCTGTCCGCCGACTGTCCCGGCGACGGGGCCGTGTCCGCGGCGTGTGTCCGGTGCGCCGTGTCCGCCGCAGCCGCCGTGTCCGCGCTGGTGTCGGTGTCTCCGGTGTCCGCGGGAGGTTGTCGGAACTGGCTGTCGGCCGCCGGGGCCGTCGGGACCGGCGCCGTCTCGGCCCACGGTCGGAACAGGGCGGCACACATGGGTGGCATGCTGCGCGCGCCGCGCCGCCGTCGACACCGCACCCACCTGCCCCTCTGCTGCCGCGCCGACGACCGGACCAGCGATGGTGGCCGTCCACCAATCAGCGTCCGCGCCGGCCCGCCTGGACCAATCGGAGCGCGAGAGGAGGCGCCGGAGCTAATCAGTGTTACGGCGTCTGGCCATGGAGCCTGTCGGTCTGGACTTGGAGCAGCAAAATGCAATAAAGGTTTGTGTTGTTTCGATCCTGCATTATGGTGTTACAGTATTACGTTTTTTTTTTCGGACGTTTTGGGGAGAGGCAAATCAGCCAAAGTACCATAATACATGCCAGCTTTTCTCCATTTGCCTTCCGTGTCAACAGAGGACCTATAAGCTGCGTGATGCCATCAGTACCCACCACATAAATTTTGCCCCTTATAGCTAATAATATCGTGATTGATAAATACTTTTTCTAAGAGCCTTCATTTACATATACACAAACAAGATGACACTCTTTGAGGACGATAGAAAGGCAGGTGCTGGTATGATACAAGTAGGTACAAAAATACAATAAACAGTACCATACCAGTGCATGTGAACATTCCCATGCCGGCATTACGCACGTTACTTCATCACGTGTGACGTCTAGCGCACAACAAAAGTTTGACTGGAAATGGCAATAGGTCTGGAGACAACTTGAACTATCGACGTCCCGGGAAGAGTTCCGAGAAGGTGAAAAAAATTATTGGGTTAATAAATTTGTTACACACTTTATGTAGTCTTAGTAAATGTAAGACCTTGGTCTCAGTGATACTAGGACCTTCTGATCTTTCGGAAATAGGATAATTTAGCCGAGTTTGGACTCTGTTCTCGAAAATCCTATGTCATTCTGACGCTGAGATTCATTTTACCGTGTGCTGTTACGTCCAACAAAAAATCCACCCGCCGATAAAGCACCATTAAAAGCACAGCTTCCATGAATGGGTCATAGTACGCCTATTACCCGTAGGTTATAGCTGGTCTGAGTGGTCCCTGTATGCCACCCAAGACTTCATGCACTCGGGTTGTTATGACTGTGACCAAATACCACCCACCACACACAGAGGGCTTAAATACAGTGAAGCCCGTTGTACACGGGCAACTCCCGTCGGCAATTCCCAGCAATTGGTTGCTCGGCGACAGCCTTTTCTGTTGCTCTGGGTTGCTGAAGTGCTGCCAAATGCTATTCAGGGTTGTTCAAAAATTGCCCAATATGTCGGCAACATCCGACGATCGCCGACGGTCGCTGAGCGTGACGTCACGATAATTATAACCAATGGACGAGCTGTTGCTCTCGATCGCCGAGAAGTTGAATATTTTGAACTTTCTGGCTGTTGCTGCGGTGTTGCTGGCCGTTTCTGCTGTACGAGAATGTAGCTAAGGAGCAGCAAATAGGTAAAATATTTACAAAATACCGTCTTCTTAGATTTTTCAATGCCGATTACTAGTCAGGATATCTGAAAGGGATTTTGACAGGTTGGATATTGGTCTCAATTCTGATTTATTGGTGGGATCAGTGCCGGAGAAACCGTGGGGGACCGTCCCCCGGGCCCCATTAATTCCATTTTCTGGGGGGACCTGGGGGCATATAATATATAACGAAAGTGGGCCCTTTTTACTTATGTTTTAAAGAAAATTAACCACTTGGGCCTGTATCGGTGTTCTAAATCTCATTCCAAATATCGGAGCCCTAGATATCAGTAAGTAGATATCAATAAGTCGGAGTTCACAGCAAGCTAGTGGGCCCAGTCTGAAGATTCCAGGACAAATCTTCGTATGACATTTCTTCGTCGCGCAATTCTTCGTCCGCAAATCTTCGTCGGCGCATTTATTCGTGTCGCATTATTTTGTCTCGCATTTCTTCGTAGGCGCAAATATTCGTAGCACATTTCTGCGCCCATGAAGGGAGCTGTATGACCCCTGAAAGCACCCATTCAATAAAACAATCGCTTTGGACTAATTATTTTAGTGATTATCAACCCATGCCACAGATAAACAACATACACAAGCTACTCTAACCTTTGATATTTGTTTTAACTTTTAATGCCACGTTTTGGCATTAAAAAGATAGTGGCATCACTAGCGAACGATGGCACAGGCAAGCTATCATTAATACCTATCGATACATATATAATATGTAGAAAACTTTAATATCCAACGCCACAAACCTCAAAACACATCTGCGTCCGGTTGCCGGTGGGCTCTGGAATGCCGGTTGTCGAGAGTCGCCCAGTTCCTCGGCGTGACGTAATTGTGACGTCAGCAATGTGAAAGCAAATTCATCAGTGTTGCTAAGAGTTGCTCGCATGCTGCCACCGGTTGCTGGGCGATCGGTTGCCCAGAGTCGCCGAGCAACCGATTGCTGAGAGTTGCCGGCGGAAGTTGCCCGTGTACAACGGCCTTCAGAACCCAGGTGTTCATTGTAGCGCAGCAATCAGTAAGGACAATGTCTCTCCTCGTGCCACGCTATCTCTACGTGCCATTCTTATGAGCTCCATTGAAGACTGGCCAGTTTACTCAGACAAAGCGGATGAGCCCCGTTCTTGACACATTCCTCGAGTACCAAGCCCTCGAGTACCAAACCCTTCACTGCGCTACCATTGCCACTTAATGAATCCGCCATTGGCTCTGAAGTCAATTTGTCATACGAAGGAGGTCGGGTCTGGGTCGGCCGGGACGGCTGAATGGACCGGGCGCGTGAGGTGTCTGCCGCAGCTGAATGCCGCGGCTGCGAGCCGAGTGAGCTGTCACGACTCGACTGGAGGTCGCCCCCCGCCGGGCGGTGGTCGGCGGGGGATAGTGAGCGCCGACCGCCGACCGCGGCCCGCTCACACGGTGTCACCGCCGCCGCCCGGCCAGCCGTCATATTTTGATAGCCGGGGGAGGTCGGCGGTGGCCGCCCACCGCGCCGGCCGGCCGGACAAATGCGGCCACCCAGTCGGGCGTCAATGCCCACTCCGCCACGGGGGACCGCCACCACGGGCGCACCGCACAGAAGAGTGAGCCAAACTCAACGGCAAACAGGCAGCGACTGAGACGGCCGTTTGTCACGGCTCAATGGCAGTTTCCAATACAAATCAAACCGAACGCCTCCTCAGTTTGGCCACACAGATCACTGAGAGGCTGCCCCGATCAGGTGGTCGCTGGCATCAGTTTGGTGCGTGCCATTGAGAGGTATCTGGGTTTGCGTACGGTCACCATACTACGCAGCTGCTCATGCACGCTTACCTGGCTGAGCCGGGCAATGCGCAATGCGTAGCGACTTTAACAGCGCCATGTAGCCTCGTAGCATAGCTTGCGCTTTCCCTAAGGCATTGAGTCTCGTCTTGGAGACTGCAACGCAGCTACATAAAAGAATCTCTGGAACTGCAGCTCGGCATAAGAAGGCATCACCGCCAGACTGAATGCTCCGTAAATCGGATACGGACCTCACCTGATGCCTTTGATCATCAATCTTAACAGAATTACTCATGGAATTAGGTTTGCCATGATATTTATCAGCTATTACATTATTACAGCCACCATGTCATGTCCCGAATATGTTGGTAGAAGTTGCAGAACTAAAGACCCTGAACTTATTGTAATAAATGGAAAAGTCGTTCCATGACAAAACAATTCAATGTTATTCCTAGTCACATTAACATGCCTGCAATAAAGATTTTCAAAATTTAGCCAGAACCGTGGAGCTATGGGTTCGGGTACGGCACCTCATAGTTACGCAATACTGCACCAATTCACGCCGACCACTTCGTTTGTGTCCACTGTTCAGTTTATAACTCTACTGTTGTACCCGCCACCCGGTACCACAAATAGATAACGAAATGGCCCTGAATGATCTTAACTTCTCAATCTTTCACAATTGGCTTATAAGGTACTAGAACCTGTCGAGCAAGACATATACATTTCACAAGAAATGTAATAAGTATTTGTATCAAATTATTAATCAGTAAGAAATAATTAAAACGAATGCTACTTCCAAATCCCACCTGTATAGCTTTTGTTTTTGCTTTGCACTACTGTTTGCAGCTGGCGAATGTGTTATGACTAAAGCATACATTACGGGAAAATAACCCTATCTTAAAAAGTTTCAATAGCGGAGGGCGCCCGAAACTGACCACAGCACCTGGCAGGTGGCAATCACGCACGAACGGCTCAATTCAGCTGCACAGCTCACCTGCGCGCCTCTGTGCGCGCGCAAGTCGTTAGTGTTGGCCGACTGTTGGCCTCAGAATGGGTGAAGTGGTGCCAGCTTCCTCTTAGCTGAGCCATTGTGCCGGCGGTTTCTGAGACGGGCCGACACGGCGCATGGAGCGTGCCGCGAGCGGCGCTGTTTGGGGCGCCGTCTCACCGGCAGAGGAGCCGCGCCGGCTGCGGCCCGTCGGCGATTTATTCGATTTCCACGCCATTGTGCCGACATGGAAACACCTTTGTTCCGGGCATCAATGGCGGTGGCGCGGTGCCATTTGGGGCCGAGCCGGCTCTCGCAGCGCTGAAAGCGGCGCGCGCGCTGACAGCTGGCCAGCCATAATGCGACCCACTCGTCGGCGGCACTCACCAAACCACACAATAAATATCCTTCAGCCCAAACATGACTTTTGGTTGGCCCGCGGCGGCGGCGGCGCGGCGGCGTGGCAGAGGAGCCGGCCGCTCGGCTGCCCCCTTTCACTGATGGGTGCCGGGGGCGGCGGCGGGCGGCGAGGGCGGCTGACGGGCGTCGTGCCGCCCCGCCCAGTCTACCCAGCTAACAGCAGCCCTCTGAGAGGCAGCAGTCGACACGCTTTATACGCTTCAAGGTCGGAATGTCGGACAGACCCGCAGATGGGTGCCCTGTCTCCACCTACTGGAACGCGCACATAATGAAGAAGCGATTCAAAGGAAGAATTGTGAGCTTTCATTCAAACACATTTCCAGTTGTACTTCAAAGACGCATTTTATTAAAAGAATTCCATATCACGACCATTATTAATTTCACGCAAAGCCAAATCTCATGCATGAATTGCCATAATGTGGGATAATTATGGACTGAATTAA